GCGCACAGTGACTCCCGGTAATTAAAAATTCACCTCTCCCCTCCTAATTGAGATTGTGGGATGAAAAAATGGCAGTTCGACGGAGAATTAAATTCCCGACCAATAAACCCTCTTTCATCCCTTAATCTCTGTAACAAAAAAATATATACTGCCATAAAAGTCATGGGCCAGTGAGAAAAATAATAGTTTCGCGGCGCACAGTGACTCCCGGTAATTAAAAATTCACCTCTCCCCTCCTAATTGAGATTAAGGGATGAAAAAANAGACGACAATGAGTGGGAGCGAGCGCGGTACATATTCCTTTCTCACTCAGGAGGGGAATAAATATATATAATCGAACATTACTATAGTAAAAAAAAAACAAAATCTGCACAATTATTCAATAGAATCACTGGAAAACTATAGAATTTTCCAGCGACAGCGCTGGGATTTTCTATGAATTTTTTGACCTATGTGTTAATGATAAACATGTCGAGAAAAAGGAAAAGACTTTTAGATCATTAGATTGTGCATTCATTNAGTAAGAAAAATAATTCGTTGGCGGCGCACACTGACTTTTCACCATTCGCCCGCGAATTAAAAATTCACCTCTCCCCTCCTAATTGAGATTNAACAGTTCCGTACGCTCCATCGTAGTTCATGCGCCACCGCTACAATTATTGTTGTTGAACACTTTACATTGGCCCTGTTCATCTCCCCTATAATCTCTGATTTTTATTGTCGATTTTGGGGCTAGAAAAGGGGGAATGACCGCTAAAAACATTATAAATTTGATATATGAGGTATTTATTCATATTGGTACCGTTAATTGCATTGTTATTTATCAATTGGATGAAATTATTTTTAGTGTTAAGAATGATGATAGAAACTTGTAGGCGGAATGCCGCGAGATGGCGGTAGCGTCAATTTCCCGCTCGGATCGGTAAGGCCGACAGTAGTCGTAGACCAGGCTGGTCTAACCAAAGAGGATTGACTAAAGTAGAGGCTCAGATCTCGGGGTTGGACTGACCNGAACAATAAAAACTGCCATGAAAGTCATGGGCCAGTAAGAAAAATAATAGTTTCGCGNTAAAAACATTATAAATTTGATATATGAGGTATTTATTCATATTGGTACCGTTAATTGCATTGTTATTTATCAATTGGATGAAATTATTTTTAGTGTTAAGAATGATGATAGAAACTTGTAGGCGGAATGCCGCGAGATGGCGGTAGCGTCAATTTCCCGCTCGGATCGGTAAGGCCGACAGTAGTCGTAGACCAGGCTGGTCTAACCAAAGAGGATTGACTAAAGTAGAGGCTCAGATCTCGGGGTTGGACTGACCCCAAGCCAAAAGTAGTTCGACCCCAACGGAGGGATGCCGCCACGGTCGAATCTGACGGCTGAGCGAACTGCCTGTGCGGGTAACTCGGCAGTAGCAGTCCCGCTGTCACAGGGATAGTTTCGGAGTGGAATTTGTGTCCTCCTCGTCCTCAGCATGTTCTTAATGTTTTTCAGGTGATTCATTTGCTGGCTAATTAATATTAAGGAATGAAACACAGAGGGTGTGATGGAGAATTAAATTCCCCATCAATCGATCCCCGTTGCATCCCTTAATCTCTGTAACAAAAAAATACAAACTACGACAAAGTCATGGGTCAGTAAGAAAAATAATTTTCTTCTCGGCGCACAGTGACTTTTCACCATTCGCTCGCGAATTAAAAATTCACTTCTCCCCTCCTAATTGAGATTAAGGGATGAAAAAAGGGCAGTTGATGAGGAATTTAATTCTCAGTCAAACTGGCTTTTTCATCCCTTAATCTCAATTAGGAGGGGAGAAGTGAATTTCGCCGCGAAACAATGATTTTTCTTACTGGCCCCTGAGTTTCATGGCAGTTTTTATTCTTTTGTTACAGAGATTGAGGGATGAAAGAGGGTTAATTGATGGGGAATTTAATTCTCCGTCGCCCTGCCATTTTTTCATCCCTTAATCTCTGTAACAAAAAAATACAAACTACGACAAAGTCATGGGCCAGTGAGAAAAATAATAGTTTCGCGGCGCATAGTGACTCCCGGTAATTAAAAATTCACCTCTCCCCTCCTAATTGAGATTAAGGGATGAAAAAAGGGCAATTCGACGGAGAATTAAATTCCCCATCAATTAACCCTCTTTCATCCCTTAATCTCAATTAGGAGGGGAGAGGTGAATTTTTAATTACCGGGAGTCACTGTGCGCGGCGAAACTATTATTTTTTTCACTGGCCCCTGACTTTCATGGCAGTTTTTATTTTGTTACAGAGATTGAGGGATGAAAGAGGGTTAATTGATGGAGAATTTAATTCTCCGTCGAACTGCCCTTTTTTCCTCCCTTAATCTCAATTAGGAGGGGAGAGGTGAATTTTTAATTCGCGGGCGAATGGTGAAAAGTCAGTGTGCGCCGCGAAAAAATTATTTTTCTTACTGGCCCCTGACTTTCATGGCAGTTTTTAATTTCTTGTGACAAAGATTAAAGGATGAAAGACGGTTAATTAATGAAAAATTTAATTCTTCGTCGAACTGCTCTTTTTTCCTCCCTTAATCTCAATTAGGAGGGGAGAAGTGAATTTTTAATTCGCGAGCGAATGGTGAAAAGTCACTGTGCGCCGAGAAGAAAATTATTTTTCTCACTGGCTTATGACTTTGTCGTAGTTTGTATTTTTTTGTTACCGAGATTAAGGGATGCAACGGGGATCGATTGATGGGGAATTTAATTCTCCGTCACACCCTCTGTGTTTCATTCCTTAATATTAATTAGCCAGCAAATGAATCACCTGAAAAACATTAAGAACATGTTGAGGACGAAGAGGACGGGACTGCTATACATATACTGCCGAGTTACCTGCACAGGCAGTTCGCCCAGCAGTCAGATTCGACCGTGGCGGCATCCCTCCGTTGGGGTCGAACTATTTTTGGCTTGGGGTCAGTCCAACCCCGAGATCTGAGCCTCTACTTTAGTCAATCCTCTTTGGGTGACACCGAGTGCGCCTCTCACTCGGTGCAGTACGCGTGACATCCCAGAGCGGACACTTCGAAGGGATAACCAACTAAGAGGGCGTCACCTTCAACAATTAGTATTCCGTTATTTCTCACAATTTATTATTCCATTACTGAATACAATATTTTCTTGCTTTTCAACCTTATTAGCGAATAATTTATTTAGTTCTAATGTATATCGTATTATTATTTATTTTTAAATCTATCCACATTTGTTTCATTGGGTCCAGCGTCTAGTAAAACTCGGAAGAGGATTCGGCGAGCCGCGGACATTCCGCAAATGACAGCGACTCGTCCGCTAAATTCAGCGACATGCTCGAGCGGAAGGCGCCAAAATTCGAACATTGCTTTGTTTATCATGAACATCAGTAGCCATTTCCTGCCAAAACCCCAAATTTTCAGCATAATTGAGTATGAGTCGCTGTCATTTGCGGGGACTGTCCGCTAAAGTCAGCGAGACACACCTAACCGAAAGGCGCTAAAATTTGAAAATTGGATAATTCATCAATATAAGTTCAATAATTGGATCCAAATTCAATGAAACATTATAGACAGCGGAGTACATATTCAACTATGCTGAAAATTTGGGGTTTTAGGAGGAAATGTATCATGTACTGATGCTCATGATAAACAAAGCAATGTTCGAATTTTGGCGCCTTCCGCTGAATTTAGCGGACGAGTCGCTGTCATTTGTGGACTGTCCGCTACGAGTGAAAACCCACCCTAACCAAACAAGTCCCAGAGATGTTAGACAATTGATGTGAAAACTTGTCTTCGGCTGATACGCTACCGCGTATCTCGATTAAATACTTTTATATGTCGTTAGGCCCGAAAAAACCGCGATTCTAACCTCGCTTCGCTCGGTTAGATCGCGGTTTTCGGGTCCAACGACATAAAATATCGTATGCCACGCGGCGATAAAAGCATTATCTGGCGAATATGATTATAATTGAAAATCTCGCCTTCGGCTCGGATTATAATGCCACATTCGCCAGATAATGCTTTTATCGTCTGGTGACATAATATACTATTTCGTGTCACGGAACCTGAAATAGTATATTACATGCGCGAGCCTAGGTAAACAGGTCACCGTCCCCCACGTGCTTGCCATCTTGCACGTGAGGGACCCCAAGCAGCACAGTTCTGGAGGGTATCTGCAAGTATACCAAAAAGGCTGTCTAATGTCTGTCCAAAAAGGTAACTTGTGTCTAGAAATTACCTAGAAGTTAACTAAAAGTTATCGTGTGACTGCAAGATACCTTTTGGACGGACATTAGTCTACCTTTTTGGTATACTTTCAGATATCTTTCGCAAGGTTTGCTACTTGGGACGGTGATCTGTTTTAAAAAGCTCGGGCATGTAATGTACTATTCCCTTCAGTGCCTCTCACCGACTTTGCCTGCCCTCTCTTTAGTCCCCACACACCGTAGCCTCACGTCGAGGGAACCTAGCGAATCAGTGCTCACCCAGATGTCTACAGAAAGCGAATTAAACAAAGTGCAGAATTCAAGCAGCGGGATAACCTCACAGTGAGTACCTGCTCAACAGCTAATATGCTCTGATCTCAATTACCCTGTATAATTCTGCATAACATACATCAAGGATATTTGCAGAGAATCGCCTGTTTATTGGAATGAATTTTCGAGAAATCATATTTTTTAATTTGTTGCATAAGTAATCCTGTCTTAGGTGCAGTTTCAGTTAAATTTTCCGCAGATAAATTTTTTCATTTCATAAGAAGACTGTCATTTACTGGGATAGAATAATATTACTTCCAATCCTGTTTATAAACTTGTCTCTACAACACTGATATCTTTCGATTTGAATGTCACCGGACTCGTGTTGTTTGTTGAAATGCTTTCCCTTAGATTACAAGACGACTTCCCCATTTCGTTGTAGTTTTATTCTCACAGAAGTATTATCCCACAACAAAATCGATGAAGTGGGAGAGAAATGGTCATCATTTTCCATGTTCTTGGGAAATATTTTGAAATTTATCCATTTAATTATTTGACAATGTAAACAAGTGATATTCTATGTCAATTTAAGGATGTGTGTCCAAAAACGCAAGCACTCAAAAAATTCTTGATTTTTTTAACAAATGGGTGAAGTTTACATCTCCGTCTTGTGGATAAAAATTTCAATTTACCAACCTGAATTGATTATTCAGAAATTAAATCGACAATATGCACCAAATGTGGCCGTTAAATTTACAGCAGGCTGGATAGGGCTAAAAGTTTTAAACAATTGCCTTATTTTTCTGGGTTTCACCAAATTTTTCCTTGGTCATTGGATTTAGTACACACTTGCACATTGCCCTCTATTTTTATTTTTATTTTCGGAGTCTTCCAATAGGTCAATTATCAATTTGTTAATAAATCCCGTAAGAGTCCGTGCATAAGAAAAATATTGTTCATTCAATTTCATCCAAGCTACTGCAACTCATTATTTTTAATCATTAGATATGTTGGTTTCATGTGTTCCCTCATCAATTTGAAAAATTAAAGAATTTTCCTCGAACATAAGAAAATTTAATTTTTGGAAAATGGAAAAAAATCCTTAATCCGTTACTTGGAGTCGTGTCACATCCAGCTGACCTTGATCACCCTCGTAAATTAAAACTTCACAAATATTACTTTGAAAAATAAAAAAATTGAGTCTTTTGAAAACTGATCTCAAAGCAGGCAGTGTCCAACTTCGAAATATCTTTATAACGATAAGCCCTTCATTTGAGATTGCGATTGTATATTTTTTTAAATCAAATCGCCCTCTTCTGAGATATCATTAAGACTATTTTGTCCGAAATTTCTATTTATGTTAATGTTAGGTATGGCAAGAGCAATCAACTTCGATACGATAGTCGTAATACTTAATTAGTGTACACGCGTGAAAAAATACAATAGAAAACCTAGCGAATTCTCTAGAAAATTCACTTTGTATTTGTGTAAAAATTCTACTTATATTTCGCGTTGATACTATTGCATATTTGATCAGAAAAAGTCAATACATTTTGAATTTATGTTCAAATTTTCTCTGCAGATTTTTTCTATTAGAATTATTGGGTTCAAATTATTGGGTTCAAGTTTTTTCTGCTGGATTTTGTTTTGCTTTGCATTATAGAATCCGAGTGGAAGAAACTTGGCAAATTATTGCCCAAGCCTTCTTAAGAAAAAATTTGACGAGAAAAATTCAAACAGAAATCCGAAATCTATTCCAATATGTGTATCGTATAATTAGAATGCGAGGAGTACAATTTCTGCAGGCAACTTTCGACAAAAAGTGAAAGAACTTCCTTGTGTGGAAAAGATCAATGAAAATGGCGACATGAGAAACTAACATAGGCGGCAGAGAACTGAGACCGAGCATTTGCATTTGTTATATAGTAGGAAATCATAAAATTGATTCTTTCATTTGCTTTAATTATTTTTGTAGAATTAAATGAGAATTAATCGAGTTGAAAACGTCAATATCGCGGAAAATCGAATCGACAAAGTGGGCCCTTTTCATACGGCCGCACATATACAGAATTACTATATTTGGGTATTTTAATAGTATTTTACCTAACGAGTTGGTAGAGGTTTACAATCTGAGTCAAATGCGAGTGCTGCAATCACTCGTTAAAACCGTCATTTACCACGAGGTATGTAAAACTGTTTGTCGTGCAATGACTGCAAACACGTGGAGCGTGTGTAAAGTGCCGGTTGACAGGCTCGCATGCTACAAATTTATTTTTCCTCGTTAGACACCACGGCTAAATTAGAGTATATACATATGTTTATGCTATTTTACCACGCGGACTCTTCCACCTGGATCTCCTCAAAGACACCCATAAACTCTTAAACATTACAGATTCATCCTCGCAACAAAACCCGAATGAAAAATTGCCAAACATCCTTGAACAATGGCAACTCTCGAAGCTAAAGTCATAAGTGATTTCTACAAGTACCGTACTGATTACGACGGTTACACCGTTTACTTCGAAAATACCAAGCATTACACGAAGAAGGAGGTGCGCAGAATCTTCACAAAGTATGGGGCTGTGAGGAAAGTTGCTCAAAGTGAAGTATACCTCTGCAGTCACTGTTTTGTGGCATTCGTCTACGAGGAAGATGCGAGAAAATGCATCGAGGCGATGAACAATACTGGAGATATTCAGCTCTTGACGATCACCCGTGGAAGAATACGACCCCCTCATCTGTTGGACAAACATCGAGGAAGACCAGCGAATAATCCTAATGCTATTCCGGTTGGGATGAAGATTGTGAAGAAGGATGGTGATAACTGTAGAGGGAAGAGGAGGCCAATTAATGGACAAAGCGATCCCAAAGTGAACCCTAAAGTCGGCAAAAACGCTGATAAAACCAGTGATGAGACCTCCACTGGACATATAAGGCCTCTGGAGACCATTACGAGAGAAGACATTCGTCTTGAGGGAAATCTCGACTGCAATGCCAATATTATGGACAAATTCGTTCAGGTATCTTCAGAATTCTCCGACCTTCGGCAGGAGCTGCGCAAAGAAGTGATCATTTTCTTGAAGCAGCTCTTAGGGGACCTTCCCCAGGTAATTCAGAAAGTGACGACGGCTAATTCCCCTGGGCAACTCGGGAAATCATTTTATGTTCCTCTGAAGTCTCGAATCCCCTGGAGAATGATCCGCAGTGTTAGGGTTGAAGAGGTACAGGCGTTTCCGGTTGTCATTGCAAATATTCACGAGATATGCAATGTAGAGTTCATAATGGAGCTGTTAGGGATGTATGAACCAATGTTCGGGTCGAAGATGAAGACTATTCCGGGGACTTTGCTGCGGTACTGCTGGGTCTATTTCAAAAGTACAAAGACTGCGGAGGCAGTGGAGAGGGGTTTCGATAATGGAAAAATCTGTGGAAATTGTCTTGTGGTAAGGAGAGTGTGGGTGTTGGGAGAGGATTGATTCAGAGGGAAGGGGTCTGAATTTTTGGGGTTCATGAGGGCAGGAGGGATTTGTGAGAAATTTTGGCAGCTAGACAGAAGGTCTTCCGATGATACGGAGGAGAAGGGCTCATTTGCAAGGTGATTGCCTGATCAGTGCCCTCACTGATGTAATGTGGATTTTTCGCGATTTTTAGGGAGTTTTTGTCAGCTAGAGACAGGTCTTTTCCTCATTCCTGCTATCATTGCTCTTTTGAGATGGAATAGCATACATATGTATTCACTCATGTCAAAGATAATTTTTAAATTACCACAAAATTTTTTAAAATTGAGAAAAGTTTTATAAGAAAATCGCTATTGATGATCTGTGAAAAGAATACTCGTTAGTCGGATTACTGCGTGGCTATGAAGTTGTAACATGGCGCCTCTAGTAATTTCGTATATCTTTGGTGAATGAGGATTTTAGAGAAAAGAGGTAAAAATCATTATTAGTGAGAAATATCGACTACTATATGAGAAATATCTTGGTAATTCCTTAGAAATCAATGATTAGAGAGCTAATTGCTTAATTTCAAATATGGAAAATGAAATATTTGATAATTAGACATTCACTTAAGAATCAGCTCCTTGAGGGTGAAATGGCACAAGACCTTTCTCTGTAGCCACGAAAATTCTCTGAAAAAAATTTCATCTATGTATGAAACTACCCATTAGCCAAATAATAGCATAATCACGTTCTATTAGTCCTCTGTTGAGTTGAGGGTGTGTAATAACACACCTTTCACATATTGTTTTACTTTGGTTTTCACGAGATTTGTTTGTCTGTTTTGAGTTTTATTTTTTCATGAATTCAGAATTTATTTTTTCAAATAGATTGTCATTGTAATGGTTGACAGGTACGTTCGGGATCTGAATTATTGGGGAAGAATTAGCTTAATTCAACGATTTGGCTCTATTATAATTATTGAAAATGTCCCATTTCCGGTATCTTATACATAATAAAAAAGTGAAGAAAAAATGAAATGAATCAGCATCATTGATATAGAAGTCATCATGGCACGAGTATTTCATTGTTTGTAATCCATGAATACTTATCAAATCCACGGCTTGGTGAATAGCACATGAAATCCACGAGTGAAAAAAAGTCGTTTGGAAGCTGATAGGAAGATGTCTAGTATTTTAAACAGTATGGACTTGATGATTAAGTTATCTTTTCGTACGTTTGATATGATAAATATTTTTATTTTAACAATTTATAATGGAAATGATTGTCGCATAACTGGATGAAATTTGAAGAGTGTATCGTATCGGTTATTGTTCTGCTATAGGATGAGTAAACAAAAAAAATTGGGTTGAAATTATACTTTTACGTTTGATATAATTATAAAGATATTCTTCCGTTATTTTTTTACATAAGAAAAGCGTTGTACAATCCGTGAATAAACGATTTCATACAGAAGGGTTCATGAAGTACTCCAGTTATTTTATATCACGAATTATGATGAAATTGGTGTTAAAGTCACACGATTGTCACAATGATTCTATTGTTCTTACCTTTGTCCTTGTAATTTAGTAATTAACGGAGAAAGGGTCACAAGGAATATTTAGGAATAATTAGGAGTTCTCGAAATAACCAAAAGATTTGTTTGGGTTCCAATAATTTTCATGTATAATTTAAATCAGCTAGTATGAAAAGTTACAGGAATTGTTACATTACTTCGTTTTCGTCATCTACAATTATTCAGCTCGCATCGGAATTTCTAACCTGTTTCCCCTAGAAAATCTCTTTTCGAACTTAATTTCAGAAACAGGTACTCACTCAATGCTGTTTTTTTTATCCAAATCTTAGTCCAGTTCAATGTTCACTAATTAAATAAGATTTTTTTACAATTTTTGGTGACAGTTTTGGTTGTGAGTTTCTGTTCGTTTCCCGCACTTTCTGCACTGTAATTGTGAATACTCCTGCACTGAGATAAACTTCCACTCACGGGAATGATAAAGTTTCAAAATAGAGTTTGAAATGTTTGAGGTTTGAGCACGTCAGCACTATTGAATGAAAGTTAATTTTGTAATGACCCTTTAGGCGCGAGAAAAACGGCTACTCTCGATTTTAGGGAGATTAATCCCCAGATCAGCACCAACGATCACTTCTGAAAATATTTTCCACATGAAAAAGTCACCGCACGTAGCATCGATACTTATTAACCAAATTACTACTGTAGTTGAATACTGCCCGATCGATTCCGCGAGCTTCTTCCGCTGGGTCTTCTCTCTCCGAAAACTGGTTAACGACTCAATTTGGTTTTCGTGGCAGTTTTGCCCCATGGCAAAAACCAGGAAGTTCCAGAATATTCTTTATTGGATTTTTGATTGGGAAATAGTCGCGAAGACGGTCGTTGAACGGTGTTGAAATATCTGGGAGCGATGGACTGCGTGCTGATGCAGCACTCGTTCGATGCTGAAGGCACATACCTTTGCTCGTTTAATATTAGAATTTTGTTTTTGTTTTGGAAATAAAATTTTGGATATAACATCCCCCGCTCAGGGCTGTTATGTGACTACATCTTCGTTGAATCAGGGCTGAGGAGTTCTTTATAAAAAATTTAATTTTTGACTGGGATTGATTGGATTTCAAATTTTTGAATTTTGAATACGTTATGGGTTGAAAATGTTTTGTTGTGTTTGGACCTGCTGGATAAAATTTCTATTTATTGTTTCTAATCGTATTTTATTTAAGGTGTTCCGTTGATGTGCTAAGCGGTGGCCTTCAGCGGCAAAAATGCTGTCGGTGGAATTTTTGTGAGCTCATGTTGCATTTTGTTGCGTCTCTTACGGTTTTTATTCAGTCACTCTAGGTGAGTGTGTCGTAACACCTCGTGTACCCTGACCGATTTACGGCGATTTCATTTCGTTAAATTTCCGAAGTATTAGGGGTTTCGAGGGATTAAGTGGAAAAATGGTGTTTGAAAAGTTGGAGCGGGGAATTGAAGACCTTCTGGGTCTCCCGGGTTTTGTGGCGGTTTTCATGTGGCCTATGGATGTAATGAGGAAGTTCAAAAGCAGGCAGAGGCGGGATATTCGGTGGGGCAGCTAAGCGGGTAAGTGTTTTTTTTAAAGTTATTTATTTAGTTATGTTGAAATTGTGTTTAGTTCAGGAATTCGAGGGCATGTTCGAGCTTCCGGAGGAAGACCGCATTTAATTATGTACATCATGTATGGTTATATCATGAAAATAAATTTCAATCGATGATGTGAAATACTAAGGAAAAAGAAGAACTGTGTTTTTTTTTTGATTAAAGTATTCTCATGGGGCCTCGTTGTGGGTGCGTTTCGGAATCAACTGCGCGCAGTTGCAGTACTGCCACTACCAACGTTCCTGTTTCGTAATTCTTGTAGCTAACTTCGCGTAGTCACGCCATTATTTGTATTCAGAGTTCATAATTAATAACCTTTCGGAATACACAGTGGTGTCAAGAATCCTTTATAGTCCAGTTAAATTAGATTTTTGCTTCCGAATGGAAGCATTGTAATCGACCAAATTTAAGTTTTGCATTTTTTGTGTTATATCAACCAACTATGATCGAAAAAGTCCGAAAATGCAATTTTTGGGCGGTGTCCGTATGTATGTATGTATCTGTGTGTGCGTATGTAAAAACCATTTTTCTCAATTATTTGCTAAGGAAACAATGGAATCGAAGAAAATTTTTTTAATCAAATGTAGGTCTTATCAAGCCCTATCCATCGCCATTAATTAAAATTTAATTCATTCATTCATTTTTTTAATTTTTGAATTTTTTCGAAAATCAGTTTTCATACGATAGCTGAAAAAAAAATGTTTTAAATTCATTCAACTATGGCTTAAAAAATTTGTTGGGATGTCCTCTCGACCGAGTTCGAAGATGAAGATCATAGCTTTAATAGTTATTCGGATTTTTTTTTTTAATTCAATTTTTTTTTCTAAATTTTAATTTTTACAAATTTCTTTTAATTTATGATGTTTCATGGAGTGAACCATAGGTTAAAATATTTGTTTTGATGTCATTAATGTGTAGTTGAAGAATGAGCATGATAACTGTCTTGATCAATTGGATTTTTATGATCATTCATGAAAATTTTGAATTTTTCATGAATTTTTTATGAAAATCAAATTTCTGGTAGTTTCATCTAATGTAATGCTCAAATTTATCAATTCTTGCATCAAACAATTTTTTTTAAACATGATTATAGTGGAATTCTAAGGTATAATAGAAAGTTTCACTCTATCTTTGAATTTATATAAGATTTTGAGAATCATTCTCATGTTCTTCGATATTTTGAATTTTCCATCAGATTCTTTGGAAAGAATCTGATGGAAAAGGTTTCAGATTCTTCATATTATATAAAATTAAAATATTCTTAATAAAATTTTGTTGAAAATTGTATTATCATAGTATCATTTTTGA